GAGGACCAGCCCCAGCTCCAACAAAGTAGAATTTTGACGCACTCCAGAAAGAAATGGAGGCGATGCGCACTATGGAAGAAATGTACAACGAGATGGTGCAAGTCGCGGGCGCAAGATCTCGGTCGGAAAATCGGGTGGCACGCGATGATGTGCGCGCGCAGAGGAGTAATCACCTCGGCCCAGTCGAGGAGGAACATCCCGAAAGAGGTGAGGACGAAGAGTATACTCACCAGAAGGGTGATCTCCGTGAGCACCTTAATAGAAAAAGGAGCTCGTCCCTCCGAAAGGGACAATCTTCGTCTTGCCCGCACAGAAATTCCAACCAGCAGGCAGAATCCTCCTACAATCCGATAACCCCTGAAGGGGTGATCACAAGGGAGGAGTTTGACCAGTTAAAGAGCAAGTTTTATGCTCAGGTTGAGGTCTTGAAGGCCAAGTGCGAGAAGAAAGAAAGTCCACTCGATGATGGCGACCTGGGAGAGTCGCCATTCACCTCGGACATCTTGGAGGCACCAATCCCTCCAAAGTTCAAGACTCCTACCCTGAAGCCTTACAATGGTTCTAAGGACCCAAAAGACTATGTTGAGGTCTTCGAAGGCCTCATGGATTTTCAAGCGACAACAGATGCAATTAAATGCCGCGCCTTCCAGATCGCGCTTACCGGCAGCGCACGCTTGTGGTATCGAAGACTGCCGGCCAGGTCGATCTCGACCTACGCTCAGCTGAGGAAAGAGTTCATCGCTCAATTCTCTTCTCGGCATTATGACAGAAAAACAGTGACTCACCTCGCCACCATCAGACAAAAGGAGGGTGAGACGCTAAGGGAGTACGTCACAAGGTTCCAGGAGGAGCAGTTGAAGGTCGCACATTGCTCCGATGACTCRGCTATGTGCTACTTCCTCATCGGCCTGACCAATGAGGCCCTCACCGTAAAGCTTGGAGAGGAGGCTCCAGCTACCTTCGCCGAAGTATTGCAAAAGGCGAAGAAAGTTATTGATGGGAAAGAGCTCCTCCGAACTAAAACTGGCCGACCAGAGAGAAAGATTGACTAGAGCAAAGGTGGAAAAGATAAGGGGAAGGCAGATTCAAAGTCCAAGGACAGGGGATCTTCCTTCAGTGGCCGTGTAGAATATCGAAGGATGGAGAACGGCCCCAGCCGGAGCCGACCTTACAAGCGCTACACTCCGACCACCATTCCGATCTCCGAGATCCTTACAAATATCGAAGAGTCTGGAATGGAAAAACTCCTCAAGCGACCTGAGAAACTCAGAGGAGACCTGTAGAGGCGCAACAAGGACAAGTACTGTCGATTCCATCGTGATCACGGCCATAATACATCGAACTGCTGGGAATTGAAGCGCCAGATTGAAGACCTCATTCAAGATGGCTACTTCAAGAAATTTGTAAGCAAGCCAAGGTCCAACTCGGCAGAGAAGAAAGAAGAGAGGAAGCGTTCAAGGACGCCACCTCGTCGAGATGATCGACCTGCGGTCATAAATATTATTTTCGGAGGACCAAGTGAGGGTCAATCCAGAAATAAGAGAAAGGAGCTAGCTAGCTCAGCCAGGCGCGAGGTGTGCATCATCAAGGAGTAGAGACTGACCTGCTCCATCACTTTCGATGATACAGACTTTGAGGGGGTCCACTTGCCCCACATTGACGCACTTGTGATTGCTCCTTTGATTGACCATGTTGAGGTCGGAAGGGTGCTGATAGATGGAGGCGCATCTGCCAACATCTTGTCCCTACCGACATACCTTACCCTGGGATGGACCAGGACGCAATTAAAGAAGAGCCCGACACCGTTAGTTGGGTTCTCTGGAGAATCGGTCTCCCCAGAAGGGTGTATTGACTTGCCAGTCACATTTGGGCAGGACAGTACATAGGTAACTCAAATGGTCGAGTTTGTAGTGATTGATGGCAGATCGACCTATAATGCCATCTTTGAGAGACCCATCATCCATTCATTCCGGGCCGTTCCCTCAACACTCCATCAAGTTCTGAAGTATTCGACCCCTAATGGAGTGGGTACGGTCCGAGGAGAGCAGAGAGCTTCAAGGGAATGTTATGCCTCTGCACTTAAAGGGTCATCAGTGTGTACCCTGGAAGAACACACCTACGGGGACGAACTGAAGTCCGAGGCCGACCTACCAAGAGTAGGTAAAAGGGAGTTTTCCGCGCCAACTGAGGAGCTCGAGCTTGTTCCCTTGCTTAGTCCCGAGAAATAGGTAAGCATAGGAACTAAGCTAGGGGCCACTGATAGGCAGAAACTGATCAACTTCCTCAGGACCAACTCGGACATCTTCGCATGGTCTCATGAGGACATGCCTGGCATTGATCCGAAGATCATGGTGCATCGCCTCAACATAGACCCATCATTTCGACCTGTAAAGCAGAAAAGAAGAACTGTAAATAAGGAGAGGAGTGATGTAATAGTTGAGGAAGTAAACAAATTATTGAAAGCTGAATATATAAGAGAAATTCTATATCCTGAGTGGCTCTCTAATGTTGTATTAGTTAAAAAGTCCAACGGGAAGTGGAGAATGTGCGTAGACTTCACAAATTTAAACAAAGCATGCCCAAAAGACTTCTTCCCGCTGCCAAGGATCGACCAGCTCGTGGACGCTACGGCCGGGCACGAGCTGCTCACCTTCATGGATGCCTACTCCGGGTACAACAAAATTAAGATGCACGTCCCAGATCAAGATCATACCTCCTTTATAACAGACCAAGGTCTGTACTGCTATAAGGTCATGCCTTTCGGCCTAAAGAACGTAGGGGCGACCTACCAAAGAACGGTGAACAAAATGTTCGCCAAGCAGATCGGCCGGAATATGGAAGTATATGTGGACGACATGCTTGTCCAGAGCAAGCAGTCAAAGTCGCATCTTTTCGACCTGGCCGAAGCCTTCGAAGTCCTGCGAAAATATCAAATGAAGCTCAATCCAGCCAAGTGTGCCTTTGGAGTCTCCTCAAGGAAGTTCCTTGGCTTGATGGTAAACAACCGGGGGATCGAGGCCAACCCTGAGAAGATAAAGGTCGTGCTCGAGATGAAGGCACTCAGGACTCTGAAGTAGCTTCAGTGCCTCAATGGCAGGATTGCAGCTCTGAACAAGTTTGTTTCGAGGTCAACAGATAAGTGCCTTCCTTTTTTTAAAGTCCTAAGAAAGAAGGGGCCCTTCGAATGGACAGCGGAGTGCAAGCAAGCACTGGAGCAGTTGAAGAACTACCTCTGCTCGGCACCTCTGCTTGCCAAGCCATTGCCGGGAGACAAACTCCACTTGTACTTGACAGTATCTGACAGCGCCGTCAGCTCGGCCCTAATCAAACAAGAAGATAGAGTGCTGCAAAGCCCCGTCTACTACACGAGTAAGGCCATGACTGAAGCCGAGACCAGATACCCTCAATTGGAAAAACTGGCTCTCGCCTTGGTCACCTCGGCCCAAAGGCTTCGGTCGTACTTCCAAGCCCACACTATTGTGGTGCTCACCAACTTCCCCTGAAGAATATCTTCCATAAGCCAGAAACATCAGGATGCCTGAGGAAGTGGGCATTGGAGTTGAGTGAGTACGAGATCCAGTTGGAGCCCAGAACTGCGTTGAAGGGACAAGCAATGGCTGACTATATAGCCGAGCTCACACCACCTCCCGAGCTAAGCATGCCCGACCTCCTGTGGACAATCTATGTCGACGGATCCTTCAACGAGAGAGGATGCGGGGCAGGAATCCTCTTGCTCGCACCAGGAGGTGAGCGGTTCGAATATGCCCTGCGGTTCAACTTTCGAACTTC